AACCAATTCTTCACCAATTGCGATACTAACCACATACATGGCATGGACATTGTTGAAGTTCTCCTTCAGTTGTGGAAAATAAAGAAAATTTTCATCTACAACATTTTGCAGTCTCGTATACTACTCACACAATTTGTGAAATTTAATCATTAAAGATGAACAAAACTTCATGTTTTGTCATTTCATACTTTTCCCCCAAGATGATTAATTTTGATTATTATTTAAATTATTTCAGTGAATGTCAGAAACCTGGGGATTTTATAAATGTTTTATAAATATATGTCAAAATGGTTAGAATTGGAATTGACCAATCCAACAATGGTACTGTGACATCATTGTGAATTAGTTCAGCTTCATCAATTCAGAAATTGCTTCTGGTTTGAATTAGAAGTTTCTTGAAGTATTTGCAGTGCATTGTGGGTATAGACAATGTTGAGCTTCATGGACAATCAAATATTTGAATTTGAATGAAAGCTTAGGATCTATATTTACAATTTCTTATAAATGTTTGTAAACATTGGCACAACTTTCTGTCATTCACTGTATTAAAATCTCGTTTATAATAATAAATTGACATTAAATTAAACAATTTATACAAAAAATTACCTCAATTAATGCAGCCCATGGATTGACGAGAATTATGGTGTTAACAAGAAATGTGGCTCCAAGTACGCTGATCAACGCCAACATGAGAAAGAATCGCAGATTCACATACTGTTCCCAGAAGGTGAAAGGTATACCTCTGGGGTAGTTAGGGAGCCCTCTGGAGTCAAAGTGGGATGAAATGTTGCGAACCTTGTTGATAACGTTAATAAAATCTTCGGTTGTTTGTAAGCCATTCAAGAAAAAGGGAATTTGTGTAAAATTTAGAGCCTGAGATTTTGGAACTGTTGATTAAAAAAAAATAAAGTTATGAAAAATGAATGACCATGTTTTTCTGCATAGATATTCATGTCAACATTGAAACAAACATAATTAACAGATATTAATATGCTACAATTTGCACTCATTCATTTTAATTGTGGAACAAATCAAATGAAAAAAATTACTGGTTTTATTTCAGTTTGAATTTGACTTACTTCGCTTTTCTGGATCATTGACGCCACCTGGGATGAAATTATGCGGTTCAGGGTGGAGCTGAGCCTGCGATACGACGGTAGAAAGCACATCGTACGACCACCAAACAGTAAGATAGTTATAGAATGCATCAGGGTATATAATACCATGTTCATCTACCAACCTAACATTATTTACCTAGTGGAGAAAAGAAACAACAAACTTCAGACTGGAGGACAGATTACTGGAGTAGAGAAGAGGCAAATGTTCCTACATGTTATTCAGTGGAGAAATGAAATAACATGAAGTGGAATCTGGACTCTGTATGAAGAATGCAGTTTATCTTTAAACAGCTTACAAAACAAAAATAAAATGATTTTTATTGTTATTTTAGACGTTCGCATGGATTTAGTTTGGCAGGTTTTACTTTCATTTGACATAATTGAAACAGCTTATGAAACTAAAATAAAATGCACTACTGTAAAACTATTTTCACTGACATTTAATTTCACTATTTTGATGTTTTGAGTATATTCACTGTGTTTTAACTTCACAAATTTGTCAAAGAAACAACGATTTTTGTGGATTTAGTTTAGTGGATTTTTCTTAACAGAAAAAAATATAAAAATGAAAACCCAGCAAATATATCATATAATTAGCAATTATATAATATATACCATACTATTTTACATATGAATCAAATCAAATCAAATAAATTTTTTGGAACACATTTTGAATGAAACTTGTAAAAAAAATATTCATGAAATATAGACAGACTGACAGAAGTGCAGTTTCTATGGAACTAATTAAGATGCAAACTTGCAGGGGAAATAAAATGAAACAAACCTGAGTTTCATCAATCGGGTACTCTGAGTCACCAGTCTGAATAATAAGCTTGTAGCCAATGACACCATATTCTGTGGCATTTTTATGCGGACCATTTTGAGAAATTGCACCTGATAACCAATCATTATCAAAAGCTTCTTGAATATCTGTAAATAAATAAACAAATTTACATATATGTTAATTACAATAAATTTGATTGAAATGTTCACAAATGTCTTTTCTAGTATTCTGGTAAAAAAACAGAAGGTGTAGCCTACTTCTACTAAGTAATGTGTCTTACCAAGCAGCCAATCCCTGAAGTATTGAAGCCAGAACATGGGCAGTTCATTATCCGGCGTTCGGATCACTTCACCAATTTCCCTAAATGCATCATGGTACTGATAAAGTATCCTTTGACTGTTGGCATAGTCAAAGTCATCCTGAGTTACAGCAAACATATTGTAAAAGCTAAAATATTTCATCTGCGCCTCCAGAAAATCATATTCCTGGGTTTTACGTGGGACTACGTCTGTGATGTCGAGTCCGTCTCGCATATTTACAATGCCATATGCACTCACTCCCAGAAGACCAGTGAAGAAGATCAACACCACAATCTAAAAAGAAGATGCAAACTTTGTATCAGTTTTCAGATCATGAAATTAACATAGAGTGTAAAAAATTAATGAATACAAAATAATAAATATTTTATGGTATGCTTCTTTTATTTATTTGTTATATATATATTAATGATATAAATATATATCATTAATAAAAATGAAAGACAAATTACCTTGACTGGCATTTTCGTGAGAAAGGGTCCATAATAACACTTGGCAAATTTTTTTAGTGACAGATCAAATCCTGTGCATCTCTCTCTAAAGCTAGGCCTCTCACTGTCAATACTTTTTCCTGTGAGCGGCCGCGTTGATGGTGCCGATGACACACTTGATTGTGGGGTCAATGTTCGTGATCCCGGTGGGGATGGCGGCGAGTCCGGCCTCCCCACTGTCGTAAATGGTACTGAATCCACAACAGTAACACAATGTTCGCCAGGCCTTGCTGGCATTTGAGTTACAGCCTGCACAGAGGACTGTAACGTTACATGAGTTCTAGGATCCTGGTGTCTGTACCGCGTAAACCTTCCAAGTTGGGGACTTTGAGTTAAATCTATCGGCTCCACACTAATAATCCTATTTGCACTAGAACTGAAAGAAAAAAGAAGACCTGGTTGAGAAAATGCTTTTATGTACGTGGTATGTATGGTAGTGATTTGACAGAATAACAGATCAGTATATTTAATTTTTCGCCACCAGTTCTATAATTCACAAAATAGTCCTATTTATAGTCAAATTTTTTTGAGTAAAAATTAATTCAAATTTTGTCTGTTGGCTCCAATTGAAGAATACAAAAAAGAAAAGTGCAGAAAAATTTGGGCAAGAAAGTCTGGTGGTGAAAAGGTTAATAACATAACTAAAGATTTAACAATATTTAGCATAAATGCTAGAGTAAGGCCCTAATACAAAGAATATATAGCACCAACTTCTACAGAGTCATACAGAGATTACAGTGTAACAGACCTTTACTTGCAAGTCATTGGACTTACTGAAGGGCATCTATGCGGAAAACATTGCAATGATACCTTTATGGTAAATCACTCACCTAAAACAACAAAACAAATCTATTCTCCTGGCTTCTCTTCGTTCTATGTCTAAAGCCAATATGGCTGGAAAAATAAATATCACAGCTACAAAATTGAAAACGACAATAATGGCGAACTGTGAAGAAACAAAAAAAATAGTCATTACATGTATACAATAAATGAACAGATGAAACATCTAGTATAAGCACAACTAACAAATTATGCAAATGAGTTAATTAGTATGCATATAATTGGTATCCAATGAGCATAATAAATAAATTATGTTAATGAGCTAATTAGTATGCACACAACTTGAATAAATCAAGTATCAATTGAACAATACATTTGTTCATGGAGCTCATACTTATTGGTGACTAACATCTTATTTCTATATTTACATAAAATGTCAACAGAGAAGGCTGAAATCAAAAACCTCAAGTTATATATACATAGCTAGCACCAATTATATTGTGAAAGTTTTGTTTTCAAGTCTAGCTTACACAAATGTAAATACTGTAGCCACAAGCTTTTCTGTGATGACCCCCTACGTAGTTGACGTGGAAACGAAATAAAGACGTAATATACGTGAAGCCCTTGCCCCATTTCTCTGCCAGATATGCTGGACAATGGACGAGTACAATGGAGGAGTCATAGAAATAAAGAAAGGCTTGAGGCAATCTCTATTCATACTTACTGTGTTGGTTTTACACATTTCATGCATGGATGGGCGTAAAAGATGATAGTTTGACGTTCCTAAGTAAAGTCTAAACTTTGACTTACAAGTGCTTTTTATAACATTAAGTTAATAGGTGTTTAGATATCCACTACTCGGCTGATATACCCATTAATCACAGGTCAAAGTTTTATGATACCCATGGAGTATTTACACATAACTTTTTTTATTTATTTGTTTATTTTGATCAAGTTTGCATATTTTTTTTGCGTTGTGATAAAGACAATTATTCTAAATCTCATCTGAAAGGATATTTGTGAAAAAAGAATGCCCACCTGTAATGATAGAGTACGAAGGGCTGGGATTGGTATAACTGCCGCAATGAAGAAGGCACACATGTTATTTAAAGATGTTAGAAGAACACTCATACCACTTCTTTTCAGGATTTCACCAGTTTGTTGCTGTGGAAAAAAACAAATAAAATGTTGAGATGATAGTTTATTGGACTCTTACACTCATAATCGTGTGGCACAACCATGGCAACTTTTAACAACCATTTGAGTCAACTTTTGTCAGTCACAAAACCAAATCCACCATTCCTTATTGAATAAATGAATAGATAATATTTGGTCCAAATTTATCTTCAAGATTATAGAAAAATAAATCATCACAAGATATTGTTATTGATGATAATTATGGAACTACGATCTTTAGTAAAATGATTATTACAATATTTATACCGGGTAGTACTCATTTATTCAAAGACATTTAAAAATTATAGATACTGTGATAGTTGAAGTGTAGAAAGCAGTCAAATTGCTTGAAATGTTCCCTATTCAATAACTTGAGTGTTTGTGAAAACAGAATTTGGCGAAAGTTACTGCGATTCCAAAATTAAAGCAAACAAAGCACATTACAAAATAGTGTGGTCTTCAGAACACCTCTTCATGGCATCTATAGTGAGTACATTATCCTATCACTGCAATGTGATCTGACAGGGCAAAAACGAAATGACCTAAAGATCAAATTACTAAACTACAGGTCTAACATGAATTCTCACTTGACAAAAATATGTCCAGTCCCAAGCAACAGGGTAAGTGTAGTTTCCCTTCCAGCTAGCTGTAGCTTTGAAAACAGGAGGTATGCCCAAAAATAATAAACAATGCAACAACACATGTGACCAATGTATATAGTTGTAGTCAGAACAGCATAAATAAATCTGCCATTTGCCTATCACCCACCAACATACTCAAAATTCCTACAACTGATGGAGGTCAAAGGTTACTCACTCCTCATTATACTTCCTGAAACAACAAGTGTTGTTATTGAATCATAAATAATTTTGAAGATTTCCCTCCTCTCACCTTTCTGAACCTGACTAAAAAAAAAAATAATCAGCAGTTTTCATGTTCACTCCTACAGTGAATTATGTACTATCAGAGATCACAGGCTTGTCGGGTTAGGCTGTAGGACATACATAAACTCTGTGTGGTCTCCATACCATCACTTAGGACTCCAGCAATACACTTCTCAGGGATAATATTATGATAATACCAATTCCACAAAAAAGAAATTTTACAAACATTGTTATATTATTCCCAAACTGACCAATCGTAGCATATTTTTGGGTCGCCTACACAAAAGGTCAACAAGATAGGAATGATTTTCCACTGGCAGCATTTCATTCATGGGTGGTCATAGTTATATTATGACTGTTTACAATGGCCACAGCAATATCATTTGAAAAGATAAACTTCAACATCCAAATATGGCTGCCTTTATAGTGGTTTGTTTATAATCAACACACTAAGAGAAATCTACACAACAGTTTGTGTAATCAGACTCCAACAGGAATAATTCCCTAACATAAACAGTCTTTGTTGTTGCTAGTCTCAGAGAAAAAAGAAACACCCTCAGAGAAAAATCTGTATTTATACTTTCAAGATTTAAACTTTGGAAAAAGTATATAGATATAGAGCAAACTTTGATTTCACTGAACGTAGTTTTGGTAAAAAAAAAATTGATTGTCAAACAAAAAAAAAATCTTACTTCTCCTGATAGATAACCAGCCAACAACACCAATGGATAGATATTCCATCTTAATCTTTCTGCATTATTTAAAGATACAAACCAAGCAGGCATTTTTGACAAATCTGGTCCAGCAATATACATGAACCAAATTAAACCCATCTATGATATATTATTCTATTCATGTGTAATTGAGTTTTAGAGATTCTGAACAGACAATGGCTAGCAACTGTAGTAGACATCCCCTATTTGTAATTACGATGTTGTTGGTCCAGATTTATCTGTGACTGCACAGTCACTCTACTAGAGTAGATTGACTGTGGTGACTGTGACTATTTGTATTACTATATGTTTCGTCTTAGGAAAGAAAACATCAGGAAGGGGTGGGAGGTTCACAATCATGTTATGCTGTAGCATTTTAAAAAGTTGGATTCCTACATCTTAACTAATTAGTCTAAAATAGTCTGCCTGCTGTTTTGAGTCTATCACACTGTGCCATGTTTATTATTGTCATCATGGTTCGTGATTAAACATTTCAACTAAATAAACTGCACAAGTACATTTTTTTTTTGTCAATCGAAAAAGCAAATTTCTATAAAGTAGCTAGCAAACTGTTGACTGTTTTGATTTCACGAAACTGTCAATAAACATATTTCTTAAGATGCTTCACGGTTGACTGGGTTTTCCACTATCTATGTGAAATCAGTACAGCTAAAGAAGAAAAACAAGTAAAAGAGCAGTAGAGCTGTCCCATGGGCTACATCACACATTTTACTGCAGGCAGTCACCAAGTCCAATCAATCAAGTGACCAAGAAAATGTTGTTATGCTTGCGTAATTTTCACTACAGTACTAATCTCAACATACAGTGCACTGAAAGCTACAACTGCCTTTGATTTTTGGGGGGAGGGGGGAGGAGGTGGTACAGGAACAGAGTTTGAATACTTGGTAGAAGCATGAGAGTTCGTAATTATGGGTTTAGGGGAAATCCACTATTCTTATGCCATTAAAAGGTCTTTTTCTTGCATTGTCAAACCATACAAAGCAGAACATACACCATTTGTGTTGGGGCTAAACAGCCCAGCTTTCAAGGTGTGGGGTAATTTCACATGTACGTCACAAAACAAGCACACAGAATAGAGCTCTTTAACAAATGTGAAACACTTTTCCCATAGATTCTCCTTTCTTGCTTTTCGACAAAACCTTTTTTTTCTTTTGGCTGCTCAATTAGGAGACAGAAGAAATACAAGTCCTTCTCTAATGTTACTATCCTATGTTTTGGTGTGTATGTATAGACATTATAAGCAATAAACATGTGTGTACAGGTGATAATGTCCCGTATTTTTCTATTTTATTGCTTCCCTGGCATGGAATTTCCAACAAAAGCAGAAAACAAAGCAATCTGAGTAATAGAACAGTCACAGTGACATTAACCAATTCTAGTTCATCTAAGTTCACTTCAAAGTGTGATCCCAACTTGAAATTAAAGATGGTCTCAGTTAACACACTTTTAAAACAAGAATTTAATGAAACTTTTCATATGAGGGCTACTGGTACTTGAATTAGGAACCACAACTGTATTTTTGCACATTTTTCAATACAAAATGGAAACCAAAGTAACTAGTTTACCGTCTTATTTTTATTTGACAATTGTCATTCTCATCTACAGAACGTTTCACTCAGCAAAACATTAATATCGCTATTGGAAATTCCACATTTTTACGAGTTAGCTGTATTTAGTAATTCCAAGTGCAATCCTAAAATTTAGAAATGTACATTTAGACTATTATAAAGAATTTGTTTCTGACTTCTCCAATTTTATAAGCATGTTGGATCAGTTTACTGGAGGTCATAAGATCAATGGATAACCATCACACCAGACCACATGGCCTGACGGACGACTATCACAGATAATATGAAACCACCAAAGACGTTGAAAATCGGAATCGCGTGCCAGTCAGTTTTTGAATTAATTCCAATGTGTTGCCATCATGCTGAGAAATGTCTGAATTTCATTTGTAAAAAAGGGTGCGTTAAAAAAATATTGTAATGAAAAGAAAAGTTTGAATCAGAAATCAATCAGTGTGTTTACTAGTATAAACTTATTAATCAAGTCTAATCTATTGTATCCTCCCTGTGCAACCAATTATTCAAAATAATTGTTTTTAATTGGATGAAAAGTTCAAAGGCTTGAAAAGATTGCATGAACTTGACCCCAGGCATTTTGATGGGTAGATGGAAAATTACACTGTTTTAAATTAAAAATAAGGGAATAATAGAATCCAAGCTTGGAGGAATTAGTAATCAAATACAATGAACAATTCATATAAACACAAAAATGTGAAATGCTGTTTCAATAAATAATTCTAAAACTGGCTGAAAAGTTTGGACTAAGTAAAAAAGGTTAATATTGTTACTATGCATAAACTATCAGTAAACACAAAATTCAAACCTTGATACAGTACTGTAAAACACTTTATTTTCGCTCAGAATTAATTTCGCTGAAGGGATGATTCAGTGAAAATAAAATCCAGCGAATATACATTTTTTCCTATATTTTACATTCAATTCACTTAGAAGCAGTGAATTAAACTCCATACAATTCATTTAAAAAGTCTTTTCAGCGAATATTAATTCCAGCTAAAATATTTTACAGTAAACCACTTAATTTTTGCTGCTTGCAATTTTCATAATTTTTGAGATTCATGAAGACAAATCTTTTCAAAAGTCGCTGACTCTCCATGTCATAAAACTCTAGGGAAATTGTCACTGACTCAACTCATAGCGAAAAACGTTCTTCATGAATATTCATAACCTGACTACTAAGCAAGCACAGTATCAGATGAAGGACTCAGTTTCCAAAATGGACTTTTGGATCAAAGCCTTGAAGGCAAAAAGTTACCAGCTTGGAATCTGAACTCTACTCAACTACATCATGTCAATTAACATAAGAAAGACGGTCTTTGAAACAAGAACATTTTGTATTATATATATATGATGGAGAAAAAGAAATACGTCTCCCACTTTTTTAGTTGATCCTCATTTTGGTTTAATCGTATCTACCGATACCTAAATCTCCATAGAGATGGATATATCAGTCTTGAAAGAAATTTTTTTTTCTTATTACTGGTATTTGAAAGATGGTGGCAGAGCAGACAGTTCAATCAGCTGCATCAGCAGTGGTAGGTTTGCCATCTACGATTACAGCTCCCTAAAGGATGGTCTAATCTCAATAGACTACATTACAATGCTATTAACAGTAACCTGACCTCCTCCAGCAACCAGCAACAAAGTATCCTTTCCCAACTCAGCTCATAGATCTAACAGATTAACAATGATTAAAGTAACACTCATAATCTTGAACTTTCTTGTCAACTTTATTTCCTCTACTTTATACTAGACTATTAAAAAGATATTTCGTTGCCGTCATCATGGTGCCCGGTACCACACCCATGGCCTACTGTAAATGGACCAACAAATAGCTACACTCAGATGACAAAGCCAAAGGTTGTGACCTTTAGATAAAGTCATGTGGTTGTCATGGAAACCATTCAGAAATCAAGCATCACTTTATGATGGGCAACTAATTACAGTTTCCTTGTGCTGCTTTTCCCATGGGTATTAATCTGTCAATTTCAGTTACTGGAGACACCAGTCTGCCTTGGACTCATATTGCAATCATTCTTTTGATTGGCTAATAACTAGAAGAATCAAAACTACCTGTCTGTGGCAGCCAAACAAAATGATTCTGACAAATCAACTGTTTCTGACAGGCTAAATATAAATATATCTTCAGATGAAGAAACTTAGTAAATGACAAAAATTGACTACTGCCATTCTTTGGATCCCAATTTAAACATACCATCTTTTCATCAAAAAAAAAGAAGTATTTAAAATTCAACTTACCGCTACTGGTATACTAGAAGGAAGGGAAGACGAGGTATGAGCAAGAAGAAACATATCATCTACTCCAATTCCCAAGGCTACAAACGGCAACACCTGGTAAAAAAACAAAAACAAAACATTTTTATAAACTGAAATCTCAATCAGAAAGAATTATGTCATTCAAACAACTTTTTAATTTGGAAAATAAATAATTACAAGCAGAAAACAACTTAAATGGAATAGAGGGGAGCCATTGGAGCCATGCAGCTGACAATCATCATAACAAAGTTTCCCCCATCTATAACATTTCCTCTTCTTTTTTATTAAGAATTTTGTTTTAACTTAGAATAGGATTTTTTTTTCAAAATGAATAATGGTAATAAATCTCTTAATAACATGTATTATAAAAGATTTTTACAAACCTGGGTTGTAGCAGCATTGAATTCTATTCCAATCATTGCACAAACTGCAAGTCCGGCAAGGACAGCTGTTGCTACTAGCAACACACCACCCAAACCAACTCCACCTTGGGACTGAATGCCATCACAGAATTTCATCATTGTAATACACGCATATATCAACTGAAATTTAAACAAAAATCCATCAGTAATTTAAACACGTAGATCATCTTTTTTTTACCCAAATTTGTGTTAAGTGATAGAACCCAGCCATTATGAAGTTACTTCTTACCATGATGACATAGCCTGCTGCAACTCTAGGCATGCTGGTCTGTGAAAATTCTTGAAGAAGGTCATTGAACGTGGTGCTGGAGAATGCCATGACATTTTGACTTTGAGAATTGTTGTTACTTGCGCTTACAACCTGAAAAAAACACAATGTTAGGTTAAGATGATCTTCTCCCTCATATGACATACAAAGTCTTTTTGACCGGCAAGTTTGTTTTACTTTATTATCATCCTAAACTGGATACTAAGTTGTGTACTCTTTTTAAGAAAAAATTTATATAATTTAAGATTTCTACTGACACATTCTGGAGACAGAAATGATAAAGTTTTACACAAAATTCTAGACAAAATATCCACACATAAAACCTAATTTGTTTTTGTAATTTCAAAAAGTAACATTCCTCATTTCTGTATAAAACTGCACAAAATGGCTTGAATCCCTCCCCCTGGGTGGGGGCACCTACACTTCTGAGTCAGAACAAAATGGCTTGAATCCCTCCCCCTGGGTGGGGGCACCTACACTTCTGAGTCAGAACAAAGCTAACAGGGTCAAGGTCCCCTTGCAACCATTTTCCTGAGTGCATTGTTTGCCTAAACATGCCAAGATGTCATGATGTGTTGACAAGCACATACCATGCTGAGCAATTCATCCACCACATAACTCACAAGTAGTTTCTCTCTCACTCGCTTCACAATTAAATAAGAAAAGTGTTTCTATCGTAATTTTACTAAAACTTGTTGCAAGATACTGACTGTCTGAACACCATGAAAATTATGATCTAAATTATGCATAAAATAAGTCTGTCTGAAGCGATTGTTTTTTTGTTTGTTTAAAACATATTGTTGTAAACTAAACAATTTTGTTTTAGACAGAATTTATGATACTGTATTTGCTCTATTAGAGGCACATCTCAAATAGAAGCACATGTGGACAGGTTTGTTATATTGGATTTTTTTAAATTTTATTTACTAACTTTTGTAAATTTTCTCTGCCACTCTTCTAACACAGCTTTAGCTTTTTCTTGGGTCCAATCAATATCATTAATTTTCCAGTCATTAACCCATTTCTGGTACATCTGCTGTTCTCCCATCAGCTCAACTATAGTTTGTAGTGCCTCACCGCTGAAAATTAAGAAGAAAAAAAAAATGAGCAAAGTGTCGTCATTGTGAGAAATAGTACTTTGACTTGTACACATTATACAGCGAACACTGGGTCAAAGGAATAAAGCATGCGGATATATATTTACAACAGTTATGAAACAATAGTGGGGAATTAAACCGTGACTAGACAAAAGACATAACATAATACAAGCTAAGGATGAGTAGGTTAGATGTTTGAATCAGAAATAATGTAATTGCCATCAGCAAAAATCTCATTTCTCTAATCAACATCGCAACAAGTCAAAGGCACAGGAAACCTTGGCCTTGAGTGCAAGTGAATAGGGTTTCTTCCCCCAGGTTACCATCGAAATCCAGTTTCTTTGGTTATATACACACTCTATCCCAGGGCACAGCCTTTGAAAGATTGTCTTTGTACTTTGCCGAGTAGAAATCCCAAATAAGTCGCTCATGGCATGTAAGTAACCCAGATCCTTTTTTTTTTAATAACCCACTCAGAGATGTATACAGAAAAGATAACTATGGTAGATTCAGTAAAGTCAACTGTATGTGTGGGTGGGGTTATCGCCAAACTAATTTGTGTACGTCTGTATGGTCAGTTCATCGAAGGATGGAATATTCCAATAAAGAAACAGTAACAGGCAGCTGTAGGTATTGTAGGTATCAAAAAACAATTTGAAATTCTTATACTCAGATAAGTGGAACTCACTGACATTCATAATTGCTTAAAGAACAAGAAGAGAGAAATATACAAGTTTTGAAATCATAATAAATGTATTATTGTACAACTAAGTAATAAATAAATAACAAATTTTAAATTATCATCCATAAACAATAACAGAATGAATTAAATTGCTGTCATTTGGAAAATGTAGACAAAAATAACGCATCATAGGAAATCAGGAAATTACTTCCAAAATCACTGAAATCAACTGACAATTTATTGGGGTTATCAGAGTTTTTTGTTGAGAATGTGTTTGAATCCCCATCATGCATAGCATAGCAACAACAGCACATGATAACAACCTCATTGCTCTAGGATAACAAGCAACTTAAGATACTCATAGAAGTAAGTATTCCATGGGAAATAGGACAAGCTACTAGCTAAGGGGAGAACCATTATTAGAGAGGGGGGAGGGTAAAATGGACAGTAAGAGAATTACATAATGATTACCTTTTTTCAAGCTGTGATGTTAGATACATAGCGAAAAGGTTCAATGAATGTATTAGTATTGGAAAAAAAGACGGTAGAGATTGTTATTATTCATGCTGAAAAGAATCTCAAATCACAGAAGGCAAATTTATATCTTACAAAAATGTTTTCTTGAAATATCGAGATGCAGATAAGAAGAGCGAGAGAACAAATCAAATAACGTGGTGTCACATTCATAGACAATTCTGTGGAAATAGTCGCAACTCTGTGATCAATGAAGGTGAACCAAAAGACTTGATGAGTACAACCACCGACAAAGAACCTGTCTCTTCCCGCACCATTGAAAAGGAAAACACTCTAACGTCTTTCTTTTGTGTGCAGTGAATAGCACATCGAGTACGGCACCGTTTTGTCACGTCCCTCTCCACCTTCCAGGAGAGACAACTCAGCTAAAAAGAATTATAATCAGAAGTAACTAAAAGGCAAGCAATCTCACCTCTTAATGTTTCCACTATGATTTTTTTGTACACCTCCCACAATGAGTTCTTCAGGCCATTCCATATACTTGCTGGCATAGCCGCTACAACCGCCAGTAAGTTCAGCAGTAATATCAGGAACCTAGGAACAAGAAAAAGAAATCTTTAACTTCAAGGCAAACAAATAAATGACATTTGTCCCAATGTAGTGTTCCTCAGATTTGTAACGTCCTTGACACAGACTTGTCAAATTCTTGGCCTGCCTGATATAAGACTCCCTTCTCTTCGCAAATGGTTCATGCCTGCAGATTACAAGGCAGCTGTGATAAATAGATGATACATGGAAGGTGATACGCTTCCTCCAAACGAGTTTTCAATGGATACTTCAATCATACACTCAACAAAAGGCACTATTCATCCACACAATTGGTGCCTTACACGGACAAACACTTGAACCGGGGGGGGGGGGTCTAGTTTTTCAGTGGGATAGTAATAGAAATATTCTGGGGGAATTGTGGGGCCATTCTAAAACAAGTGATTTACTAAAGAGAGTGTCAAACGAAATATAAACACCCCAGGCCTTTTGCACATGACCAATCAAAGTTAGTATGTGAAACTTTGAGAATTCAACGAAAAAACCTTGTAACTTAGAACTACAAATGAAAGGAATCAATACAGTCGGGGTGAATAAGTAATAAGGGTGGTGTCACTTATTGTTAGACAGGAACACATCATACCTTACCACAAAGTGATTATACAAGAAAACACCTAGCAAGGATATCCAGAATGCTAACACAAAGGCATACATTCATCCATGTTGCAATACATAAAACAAATAACAATTTATTGGCACTGATTCTTCCGCTAGATAAATTACTTAGCTCATCCACAGAAAGCACAAACTGTTATACGAGCCACTAAATGATATGATTTCATTTTAGGAATTATCAATTCCTTCCTGTAATTCCATGCAATAGTGTAACATAAATACTGTAAAGGGGGTAATTATTCACTGGGTTTTAATTTAGCTTATTTCGCTGACTGGAAAATACGCTAAATTAAAACCCAGTGAATATGTAAAATTTAGCATAGAACACATTATCTAAATGACGAAACCGTGAATTTAAAACCCACTGAATATGCCTGAAATGGTAAATCAGTGAAATTTAAACCCAGTGAAAATTAGTCATTTTACAGTAGGTAAGACTATATTCTTGATAACAGATAGGTTATTTTTACCTGTCCTGTGTATTTGTTGGGTGCTTTCTCAGGACAATCTGGATCCTCTGGATTAAGACATGGTTTTGTTTGATAAGCATGACCGATTCCCGCCTACAAGAAAATACAAAAATACAATAGGTGATGAAACAGTTCTGCAACACAAGTATAGGTAATAATCCAGATTCTGTAATAAGATTGGCCAATCCATAGTCACATGGGAGTATATGCTTTGATATGATTGGCTAATCCATAGTCACATGGGAGGATATGCTTTGATATGATTGGCCAATCCATAGTCACATGGGAGTATATGCTTTGATATGATTGGCCAATCCATAGTCACATGGGAGTATATGCTTTGATATGATTGGCCAATCCATAGTCACATGGGAGGATATGCTTTGATATGATTGGCTAATCCATAGTCACATGGGAGTATATGCTTTGATATGATTGGCCAATCCATAGTCACATGGGAGTATATGCTTTGATATGATTGGCTAATCTCAGGTAAATTGGAGTTAATTCCTGTGTTTACATGGAAACAACAAATTGAAATGATGTCACTTTAGGAACAGTTCACAAACAGCATAATAAGGACATATTTAAGGTACTGTAAAATACTTTTTTCCTACATTTTACATTCAATTTGTCAAAAATCAGTGAATATAAATTCTATACAAAACACCCAAAAAGTCTTTTCAGCAAAAATCAATTCCAGCTAAAATACACTAACAGTATTCTAAGTAACAATTTCAAACAAGGTAACTGCCATCCAACTCACCAGCAGATGATGAAGGAATCCCACGACATATGATGTAACATTGTCACATTCCAACAAGGATTCATGACAACCCATTCACATTATCAAGGGCATTACACAATATGTTGAAAAAACTACAAACTACTATCTTGCATTGAATGCAAGTTATCCACTGAACTGTGCAAGTTGTTTTTGCATATACCAGCATGTGGATGAATCTTGTTTATGCATAACTCAGGGAAAGGGAAGATCACAGATTACAGACTTTCTAGATTAAACAAGTTACAAAGATTTGATTTTGTCACTAAAGTTAAGTGTTTTTCCTCTTAAAGAGCTGTCTTTTTGGCTTTCTCATTCAATGGTGGCCAGCCAAGTGGAACCAAGTGAGCCTCTCACTCACAGTCCTCTTTCATCCAAATGTTTCCACAAAATGCAACTTGAAATGGCTTCTTGCTTTACAGAACTATTGAGAACTATACAGAACTTCCTATTGATACATCTTTAGAGACAATTCTCCTAAAATTATACCATAATTACATATAATATAGATATTCACACATTGGAGAAGGTGGAACTAGTAAAATAAATCAGAGAACTTGAAGCAATTTGAGTTGAATTCAAATGTTATATTACTGAGCATGTAACACATTAAATAGACATTTTAAGATTACAAAAATTAAGAATTCAGTCAAACATAGACGATTAAGATACATTTATAATGATAATAATACTGTATTTGCTTCATTAGCAGCGCACATAAAACAAATCATTAAAATATGACTTATTATGACCATAGAATCACCTCTATCATGTACTTAAGTTTTGACTTAAATAGAGTAAATGTTATTATAAATATTTTGAAAAAGAAATTTAATACAGAGGAGTATGTTATTCATAATTGTTAAAGTAAAAACATCACTTACCGTTTCAAATATGCCAAACAGGGCATCCAGATCACCAAAATAATCAGAATAATCTTTTAAATTTTCTAGAATCTCTAAGGGGTCTAATTTTGTCCAAACGAGGTCAATATCCAAATCGCTAATGAAATAAAAAAATAAATATATTATAATATAAATAAAAAATATTTGTGAAATTACATAAAAATGTAAAAAGTTCATTACAGATATCTTATTGGAATTTCCCAGTTAGAGAAATCCCCCTTTTACTGAGGACCTCTCATTGAGCAGCTGGGTGGCCTGAAATGTACATTATATCATGCTTGCCTGCCACCCTAGTGTTTACAGAAGTAATAAACAGTAACATTTTTACACTAGGCTTTTTTTATGGATATGAATACCGTAGAGTGATTTAACAAATGCCAATCTGGGAAGGTCTCTCTCTTTGCGTTCTTATAACATCACATTATAAAAGTATTAAAATTTATACAAAGAAATTAAAGAGAAAGACTTCCTCAGGACAATCTTAAAATCTGATTCCAACAAAGTTTTTCATCATCTATATCACCTTGGCAACTGATAACATAAAAACAGGAGGAGCAACTTATCAAAACAAACAAATAATTACTTATGTGATTGAGATCACTCAACTATTTATGCAAAATGTAATTTAAATTTTATTTAATGGTTAAAAAACACAACCATTAAATCAATTGATATGCAAATGAAACTCAAAAAAAACATCTGATGTTTGAAAAATTAGGAGTACTGATACTTACAAAGGGACATGTATGGGGCTGTAAGGACCTAATAATTTACTTCCCTCCCAGAAGCAATCTAGTGGTGTAATTAGAATGCACGGCACTAGAACTTCTAAATACTGTGGGGAAAAAAACAAAACATGGTTAACATCACTTTGTGCAAATACGAGTCAAACATATCGACAGTAAAACATTTTAGAGAGAAAATGTAATGAAAATAATGAAGAAAACTTACTCCCTGTAAGAGGTTGTCTTCAAAACTTGGCAAATCAGCCTTGAAGCAGACATCACCTAAATCCCACGTTCTGAAAGAAATCACAAATTAATAAATAAATATTAACAAATAGGTAAGTGAATATTAAAATAAAACATCTGTTTTTATAAAATCATAGTTCATCATTCATTTGTATTTAAATATACAATGATGAATGCATATCTGTATCCATAGCAACAGAAGTAAAAGATGAGTGACTTACTTTCCATACATTTCTACTTCTACTTTTGTGGCTGCTAGCGCAGACTGTAAATGAATTTCTAAGGCTTCTTGTGATAAAATATTGGTCCCATCTAAATTGGGAGTTTGTATAATAATTTGTTGGGTTGTGCCTTCCCCGACACCTAAAGTTTCTGTTGTATATTTCAGTTCTTCTTGGAGTCGACCACCAGCTAAAAGAAAATATAAATCAGAAGACGTTTTAATTTTTCCGAGACACACTTTCTGTTTAAATATTTTGGTTCAAAGACAATTTTCCAGAAAAAATATCAATACAAATTAATAGTTTAAATAATTAATAATCAGTCCCTTTACAAGTTACACTTTCCCACCCAAAATAAAATAGAACATTCCAGCCATGTTCTGTAAGTGAGAGCATGAAACAATAAGCAAAGCAAACGGTTTGCATGCCAGAGAAAATTTGAAGATGCCAGATAAAGGCTATTATAGTATATTAAGTTGGTAGTATTTGTTTTCATAAAGCTGAGAGCTTACAGATATTCAGGGTGGGATCAGTGCACAGAGAAAGTAAGTTGATGCAGATATTCCCTGCAAATTACTGAGTGTTACTTAAACCAGGCCTATATAGTTGGCTATTAGTGGCTTGCAATTTACGCCTGTGCAGTGCTCCCTCTCTGTCGTTATTTTAGTTTTCCCATGCTGAGTGAATCAACATGATTCTCACTTCCCTAGTCTCAAAGAATCAAACACTGAATTAACAAGTCCAAATCCCGATTCTTTTTAACATTTCCATACTAACATTTTTTTAATCATCAAAAACAGATACTGCAATGTGTTTATAGCTTAATGGCAATAACAAAAAAAAAAGAAAAAATTTTGTTTACTTTTAAATGGACCATCAAATTTCTACTGCAAACTTCGCAATAACAGCAAAGTAGCTCCATACAAACAAGTCCAAACAAATGGTAACATAATATGACAAAATAAACTCCACTATCTTGTGGTACCCAATGAACAAAACAAAATCAGGCTATTTTTACAAATTTCCGATGAGAAACGGTTGACATTTCCCCTTTCAAGGGTGTCACTAGAGAGAAAATCTTCTGTTTGGATATCAAGAAAGACTATATTCTGTTATTCGTCCGCAGTGTTTATGTACTGCAGTGCAGTGGGAATACCTCCATCATATTGATATCAACTCCACTTGTGAGAAAGTGCATTGCATGAGGCCCTCCATGAAAATGTAAAATAAAATGTGTGAGGGAGAGAGAGAGAGAGAGTGAGGACTGCCCAAATTTGCCACCATGTGACATTTTCGCTCACATTTCACTGGCTGAAACTGAGCTTGAAATACATAGCCAGTGCATGGTAGAAGATATTACCAAAATAAACAACTATGTATGCAAGCTAGAATGTATACAATGACTTAAGGCCTGGGGCTTTGACTGGCTCCACAGCCTCCTCTGCTTCCAGATTAGTCCCATGCTGTACAGGAATGGAATACAGCTCTTGTCATGTTTCCCATCATCTACCTAAATCACATACCATTAATTGCTCTTCTCTTTATCTGTAGACTTGAGGAGGTTGTGTGTGCATTGCTTAGTTTTATAATTTGAATTAAACTACACCACCTTATTCACACCAGTACATCAATTGCAATTTTTAGAGAAATCACCTTAAATTAAAAATAATTTGTCAATTTATTTATTTCGCAGTGAGCTGATACCCCAGAAACTGCAGTAGGATACAGAAGCAAGCCATCAGCTCAAACTGAAGAGTCCAACCAGCCTCCAGTATGGAATTACCTGACCTTGTTTTCATGGGAAATGGCTTTACAAGTCTTTTACAGCTGATAAGACCCACAATTTCTTTTTCTCTCTCTTTTACTGCATGCTTTCATCTATTCTTAGAGTAATGCCTAACAAATGTAGGCCATCAGAGCCACCAGCAGAGAACCATGAACATGCAGAGATCAGTGAGGAAAAGTGATACATTTGAAATTGGAGTTGTTTAACATACAATTGGTGGCAATGAGAAGTTTAATTAAGAATTCCACAAGTATAAAGCCAATTTGTGATTTAGTTCTGTGACCTTGAGGTTGCTTAAGTTACTAACTGAATTGAAGTTATCTTTTTTATTCGATGCATAGAGATATGATACGATTCTGGTGCAAGGCTTTAAGCATCAGTGTACAGGACATCCCATACTGGTGTTAGTTTAGTTAGTAAAGACATTTTGGATTGAAGTTTCCCATGTGCTTCTCTAAGACTCAATTTCTTGATTTATCCCCATTTCATTTCAAAAAAGTCTCCAAACATTGAGACACAATGGCAAGTCAGCAAACACTGTCAGTCTGTTCTCCTGATTCAAGTATCATAGAAACATTAACACATGTACATTGCGATGGAGTCAGAGTTCCTACTCTTGGGAAGTAACGCCAAAATGCTCTGAAATAATCAAATCATATGAAGACAGAATACAATCTTTAATCCAGCGTGGCTCTGGGAGATGAACTAAATTCCACTCATTCTTCCAACCATCATCGTTTCCTTTGGGCAGCTAGTAACTTTAGAATTAGCCACAATAGTTGACAACTTGAGTAAACTACCTTTTTACCATTCATGCACCGTTGGTACAAGTAAACACTCTCTCTACGTGTTTTCACACATTTCCCTTTTGACAGCAGATGCTAGCACATCTAGAAAACACACATCTATTCAAAAATATGTTCCCATTTCTTTCAATCTTTTCTTGTTTTTTAACTTTTGTTTTTTCAGAGACTTTTACAGCTAGCACAAATTGCCCTGCTCTTCCTGAACTGTATATTGTTATATAGGCACCATGACCACATTCTGCCTTGGGGGGCTTAGTGGGGTTACTGACTCTCCATATGCAAGTACAATAACTAATACTTGAACAAATGTAAAATCCTAATGAATCCTAATTTGGAGATCTGAACAATGATAATGTTCATATAAAAATTAATAAATGTGTGTTTCCGGGAAGGAAAAAAAAATCTGTCTAAATATATCTGAAAAGTAAAGACTCGAATAGCTATCTCAATTTTTATGCAAATATTTTGTATTTACAAATCAGAACAAATTTAGTAAAGAGAAAAGTATTTTGTTAGACAGCAGGACACCAACGAAATGGCAAAACTAATCACAACAATTTACCAGCATCAGCTCAATGAAATGGATCTCACTCGTAAAATATGTTGCTACCAGCAGAAAAAATGACAGCCCTAGACCACCAAGTTTTTTTTTTTCTCTCTCTCTCTCTCTCTCTCTCTCTCTCTCTCTCTCTTTTTCTCTCTCTCTAGCACACAAAACATTTCAACCATCAGGGTGGTTTGAGATGGCTGCCTGCACTGACAACATGCCAATCGGTTTAAAATCTATGTACCACATATCATGAACATGGGTCATAAAACGTCATAAAATTTACACTCTATGGCAAGTACATGCTATAAAAATCACCAAAGAACCTATAAGATGTTTTAGCGTTCAAGTTCCAAAATCTCGAGACACAATTAATTTCAACTTCTTAGCTGCAGAAAATATGTATAAAAATTGGTTTCTATAGTAACCATGGTGGTTAGTAATTTTTTTTTGATATTTCATCATGCTACGATTTTTTTTTTTTTTCAAACATTTATAACTATAATAATAATTGTAAAGTTATTGTCACATTTATTCCTTGATGTTTAAAACTATTGCCACACAGGGAGTTTAGTTTAAAGTGTTCCTGCAACATGTGGCTAACTTATTTATTTCAGTGTGCAGTTATTTGGAGCCAGCTCTATGCTATCTAAATAAACGCTTCACATTGAATCATTGACACATGCCTGCCCTGGACAGACAGCCAACATATCTCTATACAAAACTAGCTACTACTTAAAGACAAGAAAAGGTAGTCAATGTAAAAAAAAAATTATGAAAGAATTTTATCCTTATTTTCAATAAAAATTTAGAACGAAATTAAAATACACATCGTAATTGTTAGTATTCTTCTGACTACTGTAAAATTTTAAAAAACATCACTTTTAGGATCAACACTTGTTCATGTTACTGATGAATCTCAGGCTAGCCTACAGTAATGGAACGCTCCATTCTAGTAAGGGTAAACCTACAGCAGGCGCACTCAGCCCAAAAGATAAGGGGTGTCGTTTGCCAGCCCCTTTGGGTATTAAGTCTTCATTCACGTGCACTGGAGGACTAAGAAACCATTTAAGCATAACCACTTGGGAAAAGCGCTTTTCATTCATTCCACATTGTGTGGCCTGTATATTCTCTACAATGGAACCTGCCAATCTTCAACACAGTGTTTCAATCCAAAGAGATCTTAAAGTTCACTGTATTTCCAGCAAATAAACAAATTCTATGAGAAAACTCTCTTGTAAAAAAACACTTGCTATTGCTAGCAAACAGCTTGCCATCAGTGATACTGTCCTAATTTTACTTTTTGACCACAATACATTCTAAGATAGATTCAGTTTTCGAAATTTAAAACTCCATAAGTTATTAAATAAATATACAATATACCTCAAATAAATTTTAAAAACTGAACGCAAGATATTTCTAAAAATCAAATTTGAAAAATAAATGTTTTGTGAACTAGTGAGAGAAACTTGCCATGGTTTGCCTCACAACTCTTCAATTCTCAAGCACAACTGGGAGTCATCAGGCCTTTCAGTAAACATGTCAGCTCAACTATTCTAAACAGAAAGATGCCCTTTCTCCCGGCAGCTTGTTTGCCTTTCAATTTACATGTAAAATCACAGAACCATCTCCGGGTCTCAAACCATCCAGATACAAATACTGCCTAGAACAAATAAACCATTACTGCTTTGTTCACATGTGGAGTTCTACAGCAGATATGTGAAGGCTTTCTATTTCTCTTGCAGGGGGAATAAGACTAACAAGCTCATAAAAACTTACAAATTCCAGTGTCAAATAGCTGCATACAAGCCATATATACTTAATAAAATGAATCAGGTATATATAAATAAGGAGAAAGTTGTCTCTGTTCATATATCACATTGTCACAAGTTTTACTGGTAGATAGAACACTGTATCAGGATTGCAGCAAAACATTTTCTCTACTTCAGCTTTATTTGTTTCTTATCACCTCTGACTATGCCAGAAATGCTTCACACTTCCTCTTTTTACTGTAAAGAGGTGGAGTCTCATCAATGTTGCCTAGGTGATCATGAATGTGAGAAGGAGAATACTTCTTCTGTTTGGTTTAATTAAAACTACTAGGTTATATATATTTATTTTTGTTAATGTCAGCAGAAACATTCGATAGGAAAAGGTAGGAAAAGGTAAACTTTACATTTATTATATTATTCAATAAACAATTTTGTTGCCTCTAGAAAATGGTTTGATACTACACTGAAACAATTTGGAATGATGTAGATATTATGCATTAACATGAAATGTAATTTTAAGAAATTATTACTGCAGTCCAAAAATGTAACTAGTATACCCTAGTTAATTTGAACTTGTTTAGTAAGCGAATGTAACTAGTATACCCTAGTTAATGTGAACTTGTTTAGTAAGCGAATGTAACTAGTATACCCTAGTTAATTTGAACTTGTTTAGTAAGCGAATGTAAGAAATAAAAAATAGGTATTTCAAGGCATGTCTACACTTGCCAACACCCTCCATGGTTGCTTTCACAGATATGAAAAATTAAAAATGATATATCCTTGATGATAACTGAAATATTAAAAATGATATTCCCTTTAAAGGAGGGGGGTATAAATAGTGCCATGGACCAAGAATCTGACTGTGTCACCTAAGTGTTGTTTTCTTTTCCAATTAATAAAGAAATATTGTAAAAATTTACGAAACCTTTTTGTTGAATTAACTGTATTATATGACTGCAGTGACCACACAAGATTTTAAAGAAGACCTGCACCTCACGCAGGGTTGCCTACCTATCTTGTCATTCAACAGTGTGACATGACAGTGTCTGTTATGAATGGCCCTTATTCAAAAGGGTCGACAACACGGTCCAAGCATTGGAAACCAATTGAAAAGGTCAGTAAGACGACATGGGGGTTGACCCGCTGATTAGGGACACTGAAAGGGATCCCCGACCAGGCACTTTTGAAAAAAACACTTTTAAAAGTTTCCTAAACTGTGGCCTTTTGAAGTGCACAGTAAGCGAATTACTACAGTGGATAGTACAACACAAACGACTATTCTGTCCCACACAAAAGCTAAAAAAGCTGTCGTAGTCTAACCGTTGGATAGTAACAAAAGGTACACGGAGCCCCCATCTCACAGGGGTAATGAAAAACAGTTGGGTAACATAATACCCCCCTAGTGAATGGGCAAGGGGGAAGTTTTCAGTGTCATATAACTTTGCTGTTGTAGGCAACTTCCATCTTTTCAGACTTGCCACTACCGTCCCAAAATTTTGTTGGACACTCATTAGAGGAATGGAGGGTGGTATGTCTACCTCTTTTCAGTGAGTAACAAAAATGTTACAAAAAATGTGTACCATTGTACACACAAAAGAGACGGCCACTTGAAGACCTACAATGCACTCTCATGTGTCACACTTTTATCCTTGAATGGCAGCCATTTTGAATACATATTGGCCTGGCAGCCAGCACAGGTATACCCCCACACCAAGGTTTGTTATGGGTCAGCAAAGGGCCCAAGGCACTATAAAAGATGCGTAAATAGGGGGGGTTGTGAATAAAAAAAAAAAATTGATCAGTGACAAGGATTGAAATCACTGACCACGAACCCAAGTAAATGCTGCTTATACTTCACAGTTTTAAAGTAAACACGCTACTCAAGAGTACATAAGAGGTACCTTTTTAATCTAGATAGCTATAATATATTTGCGTTTCTACTCCAAATTGGTGGTTGAAGTGGAGGCTTACTAACTGTACCTCATATTTACATTTACTATCAGGTTGAACCTCTCCTGCAAGTGGCCCCAACTAAGTACTAGTATATTAAAGCAATGCTCTCTCTGACATTAATAAATATTCATAGTAAATTGGATTTTTTGTTACCAAATTAACTTAAAATAAATTAAAAATCATGTTATGTATACAAGAAATATTTGCTTACTCATTGTTATCTGTTTTTAATTATCAAATTTACTAACACCCAAACAAATTATAGAGAGCACCCAGAAAAGAAAACTTATGATTATAAAAACCTCAAAATCTGGACAATAAAACAATGATCAAATCAGTCATCACAATAAACGTTTTTATTTTTTCCAAATGCTGGAGTACTAATAAAATATGTTTACATCTCCGTTAGAAGGGGGCCAACCCAATTGAGTGAATATTGACAATGGAGAATCGTAACAGTGAACTTTATTTATGTAAATACTCAGGCCTCGCTGCTTAAATCGCCACAAAAGAAGCACACCACAAAAGAAAGTGGAATCCATTTCGAAAAGGGTCCTATACGCGTAGTCCACGCATAAGTAGTGAGATACAGTATTAAAGATCAACAAAGGAAGCCCTGGGACGTGTGGGACATCCCCCAATTGCGGTTAAAAAGTGAACATACTTGCTGGCAGTTTAACTTGAAAACCGGCCAACATAGTATAAAGACCACACACGGCGGCAAGTCAACCATTCCAGGGTCACAACCAAAATGGCGGACGGATAAATTTCACTTGCATTCACACGATCAGCAAGGATATTTTAATGACAACTAAAATATAAAAGTGGTCCCACTGGCAGTCTTGAACAGACTATTAAAAACCTGACTCTCCATTTAGGCTGTCTGGCACCTCAATCCTTAAGAGTCGTGTGTCCAACTGAAACAAGACAATCGGAGTTTGAAGTTGTTCACACTTCGTTTAGAAGACAATCGTTTGATTAGTGATACTGGTGTACTAAATTGACACTTACCTTCGACCCAAAGCTTTTCCACATTTGTTTCCACAACAGCAAACTTGATGCCGACTATAAGGCAGGCTAGTATTAACATTCCCATGATCAACACTTTCCCGTAATGTTGCTGCACCACGCAGCCAATGTGAAACATGAAAGCCTGTATCCTCACCCTCAGCCATAGCGCAGCTTTATTTCCGTGTGCTCGTCCCTGAATAACATAAAATCGAAGAAACAACGATTTAAAACGATTGAAGATTTCAGATGTCTCTTGGTGTTATGTCGTGACCGGAGTCCACTAAAACACGTTGGACGTGTGCCTCACGCGATGCCTGTTTTTGGATCACAACACGCAGGGACATCGCTGATCGGCTTCTTAGGACCACCAACACACACCAACAAAATAGCGATAATATGCCAAAATCCGCTACTGTGGGCATCGGATTGGACACATTAAGTATCTATAACTTTAATTTGACCATTTATAATAACATTTGTTAAAT